AAAATCATATTTTTCAAGTCGAAACTCTGCCCGCGTAAGGCCGGTTTTTCAACTAAAATCCTCGGTTTCGTCACAGAAAGTCATTTTTAGAGTCGAAGTGCTGCCCAAATTATCATTTATTCCTTCGGTTATTTCACGGTGAGGTCAATATATAGGAACAATTGTATGTTATGTGTTATATGTTCAATGTGCTTTCCTGTGTTATTCTGGTTTTATACCTTTGGCTATGTAAAGCATGACTTGTATACTAACGGAATACTAACGAAGCTATACCTTTGACTTGAAGTGAATGGTTAAGCATCACTTGGGTATTGGTATGTAGCCTTTGACCATGAAGTGTATGACATAAGCATCACTTTGGCATTGGCAGAAGGCTAGGCAGGGCTGAAAGCCTATGATTTGCTAGCCAAAATGTTTATTCAGAAATTGGTTATTTTTCCATGCCATATGGGCAAAAGTTTTATTGATGTATATCAAGTATTGAAATTGTTATGTCTCATTGATTATAAATCTTTGAATCAGATTATTCATTGATATGGAAAGCATGTCATATGATACTCATCTGCCTTTGTTTTTTTTTTGTTCCCCTTTGTTTCTGTCATATTGGTATATATATGGCATAACGTTATATTGTATCTATTATTGAACTCACTAAGCGTCACCGCTTACCCCTCTCAGTGTTTAACAATTGCAGGTAATAAGCATCCAATATAGTCATATACTGTTGGAAGATTTAGAATAGTTTATACTATTTCTTTTGTACTTGGGTTTACGTTTGTATAAAAGCTTTAATATCCTGGGTAGTTATGTAATATACTAAAACTTAGTCGATTTGTATCCAGTCTTTTGTAATCAAATTATCAATGTAAAATATTATTTTTTGAATATGCATGTAGCATGTTTTGGAGTAACTTGGAGTAACAATGTCTTTAGTATGAAAGTTAGGGTCTTTCAAAATCATAAATAGCCAATGCGAAAAAAGTCTAGGGGATGATGTGCATTCACGTTGGGCCCTTCCCCTTTCGTACCGGAAGTAACTGAAACCAATAAACATTAAACTGTAAGCAAAAAACTTAGTGAGTTCCCCAAAATACCACATACCATATATGAAATCGGGCCTAGCCGCATATTGGACCCAACCCATAATAATGGGCCTAGCCATTCCTAATCGATGGGCACAACCCAACATACAAAGGGGCCTAGCCTGACATACAATAGGCCCAACCCACTCATGCAAATGGGCACAAACCTACATGAATGCTAATGGGCCTAACCTAACATACAATGCAAGAGTCACAAAGGCAGCTAGCATCCTGCATAACACATTCTAATGGGTCGGCATTGGCGCCTTCGACCCACGGGTACAGTGAAGAGACTCACGCGACTCATGAATCAGATAAACCACAGTTCAAAGCCTCGTAACCGTTGCTACAATACTCTTATCAAATCATACAAGTTCCAACCTTAGTCTACACACTAAAACCAGCCATCTTGAGCAAAAGTCAACCCAAGACAAAAGTCAACGGTTAACGTTGATTTAAGTCATCCGCCACACCATGGCCTTCCTTGGCCATGTCGTGGCCCTAATACGATTGAACAGACGATCATTTCCCAGTCGCCACACAGTGACGAACTATGGCCATGCCGTTGGCGCTGGGTTTCCAGCAACTTAATGGATTAAGCCACTTTCTTTTATTCCAAGAGCTCCAATGCTAAAATCTGGTCCATTTTATGGTTTAAATGGATAAAGTTTCCAACTTTATCCATTTACACATCCAAAGGGATCAATATCTCCAACCCTAGGTACAAATAAAGCCATATACCACAATGTCTTAACCATTAAGCCATTAATCTGAAAAGTCCTTAACCTAACCACTCCAGAAAGGGTTTCTAATACCAGATCTATGATAAATATGAAAACTTTATAGACATGCATGTCCAATACATTTCTAGAATCCATTTTAGGTCAAAATGAGCTAAAATGACAAAAACTCATGCAAATGACAAGATCTCCAACCAATGTATAGATCTACAACATATGTTGCTCATGAGACTCAGGAGAGTCATAAAGTTGCCAACTTTATGTGTTCCATCCTTTCAAACTTGCTTAAACATGAAGAACATGGGACAATATCCTAGATCTAACCACTTCAATCCATAAAGTTTGAGCCTTTGACACTTACAAAGGTCTAGAAGCAATAAGAGATGTTGATGGTGTTGTTTCCTTGCAAGATCCAATAATAAATCACCTTCGTCTTCTTCTTCTCCTATTCTCCAGGCTATCAATGCTCCAAAAGTCCACAAATCACCAAGGGGATGAGGGATAAGGTTTCTATGAGGTATAAGGGTGTTGGAAGTTGGCAATGAACCCTGGAAATGACTTAGAGGGGTTTAAATACAGAGAAAACCCTAAAAGAATCATGAGATTTGGCCAGAACAGCTGCCATGTCGTCGTAATCCTTGGCCACGCCGTGGTGGTCCATTAAATACGCATGTTCTTTATTTATTGCCATGACGTGGGCATCCTTTCTCCACGCCATGGCACAATGTTTTACCTAAAAACTCCATCTTTAGCCCTTGAAAATAAATATAAAGCTAAATCATTCTGGAATACGGATGTTACATTGGATAGCGGCTGAAATGTTGTTGATAGTATACCAACATGAAATTTGTTTGACTCATCAGATTATAAGGTTTGACCTTATAGTTGTCCATTGGAAGGGTAATGGAGTGGGGTTTATCAAGTTTTCAGACTTAATAATGTATATTTATGAAAACATATATGATTTCTTGCACCATAGTGAATAATTCATGTTGTTGAAGACATAATAAGATAATGACAATTCACTAGAATTTGATATGAATAGAAAGTATTGCCAGCAAAATTTATGTTGGAACAATTATTTTTGTTTCCTCCTTGACCCGATCCTTTATTTTTAGCTTTATCTGAGCCACTATTGATTGAATTATTTGTTCCTTTTGATGAAGTCATTGATTATGAACTAAGCATGGTCAAGAGTTGATGGTATTGTCCATTAAGATGTTGGCACTAATTTGTGATCAGATCATATAAAGAATTAGATTCATTGATGCTTTGATTTGTTTGATTCAGTGGAGAATGATCACTTTCAATGTTGGTTTGCATGCTCGAAGCATTAGAAGCTACATTGTTTCCCTTTACGAATTTATATTCCTTTGGGAATCCAACAAGTCGATTGATTGATCGTTAATTTCCCAAAACTTTGAGACTTTTTTGAAAATTTCTCATTATTTAAAGTTGTTGATTGATTGATTTTATCACTAAATGAAGATAAACACTTACCATATTTATCTTAAGTTGAGTTCCCGATTTGACTATCTTTTATATCCCAATACCTCTTACATTATGTTGTATCTCCATCTATATAAACACATGATGAGAAACAAATTAATATATGAAATACACACAAACGAAAATCCATGAGTCTTTTTGTTGAGAGATTTAAAGAAAGTTTTAAGATCAAGTGAAAACAAACTCTACTGACTATATCCGAAAATCACAATGGAAGCATGTGTGCAATCTAATTTCTTGTTTTTTTAATTAGATTTTAAATTAAAGAATTAAAATATCATCTATTATATTTTGGATATTAAAAGAATCAACAAATGGTATTAAAGCATACTTGATTTATGTATAAACTAGGTGTAAAATCCATGTATCATATATGTTCATTTAAAAAAAAACTTAATATGAAATTCTAAACATTTAAAAGTTTGAATTTATAAGAAAATTAAAAAAATATGGAATTATTAAAATTAATGTGTTTTTTTCTTTTTTAAATTTAAACAAATAATTTAGATAAATAAACAAAGAAAACTAATGAGGTTTTAATTTACAAATTTTAAAATTAAAAGGAAAGTTAATTAATGAAATTGATATGCATTTATTATTATATTTATTATAATTATTACATTTAAATATATTATGTGAAATTTGATAAAATGAAAAAAACCACAAAATGCCATGTGGAAAAAATTTAATTGAAAATAACCACAAAATGACATGTGGCCAAATCAATGAGAGTGTGACATGTGACAAAAAGATTTTCATTTATTAGAGTAGATTGTTTGTTTATGGATCTCTGGCTGGCACAGATCGTTTAGGAGCGTTTGAGGAGTTTCTAACTTCTAGCGTTTGACAAAACGTTCCGTTAAAAAAAATCTCGTTTGACACTACAAACTTTTAGCGTTTAGTTTAAAATAAACGCTCTAAATCCAAAAGCTCCCTCACATAACATTTTAACAAAACGTTACCAGCTAGTTTTACCGAACATATCATTATGTTTTGAAGTTGCATAAATCAAACTTAAAGTTGTGATTATATGAGATTCAATAACTAGTTTTAGATATAAATTATTTTCGAAAAAGAGTTTACATATAAATTAACACTATTCGAACAAAACTGATCATCAAATTCTAAAAGATTTGCTAATAAGGAGTTTATGAAAAAATATTGATACTGATTATAGTAAATGCATATCATATCTTAAATTTAGACATTTCAGTCATATATTAAAATCTATTTTTATCTTCAAATTCCACGATTAATCATATAAGTGATTATTTATTTATTATTATTATTATTATTATTATTATTATTTTATAATCACATCCAAAAGTACATGAACCTTTAAATTGGCTGAGATTTCTATATATCTATATGTATGTATGTATGTATGATTTTAAAAATCTAAGACAAGGCATTAATGTTATTTGACCAAATTTCTGTAAATGGTATATAATTTTAGTTTATAAATCATGAGTTTAAATCTTATTATAGCTTACATAATTTCAACAAAATAAAAAAAACAATACAAAATATCGGAAGAAACTAAAGAATTAAACGATAGACATTCATTTGCCCAACTCTTTTGCACTTAATTTGTCAATTTATAAGAAAAAAAACCTAATCTTGATCATATGCAAACCAAGCAAAAAGGTTGACTTTTAAGTCAAAATAAGTAAGAAAAACTTAACGTAGAACATGAAAGAAAGTCAAATCGCATTCTATATATAATGCTACAACCCATCCGTTATCAGCATTGAGAGCTTTTCCGGCAAGCAAGTGCTCCGGCAGTCCTAGTCATCGCCCCCACAAGTGAAGAAGGTCTGCCACTTAAGCTTGAAGCTCTTGCATATGATGAAGCAGCACCTTTTCCCGACTCCAAGAAATATGCCCCATTCAACATCAAATCCCCTTCCGATCTCCAATTCCAATTCTTCCATTCGCTTTCCTTTGCATTCTCATGCTTCGTCACCTGCATTTTGCATTAAACCATCATCAATATCTATCAGTATTATTATCGGTACGAATATTATTAATCAGTATCAGTGTATCCGGTATCCATACCTGTTTTCTATATATGGTATCGGGTGCAGCAAATCTATTGCCTTGGCTGTAGATGGTAGGGGAAGCACTGCCTCCGATTGCATACATTTCCCAGTGGGTGTAGTCATTATTCACTACATGGAAATACCCATGTCTACATCTGCAACAAGAATATTTGACATTATTCAAAAATTCAAAAACTTTACATACAATCATGCATGCATATATCATGCACGTGCTTCTACTGTAACGTACTCTATGGTTGTACCTAGGCATTCTCTGAACAAGACCTTCACCAAAATGATTGAAAGCAATGGTAACTTGCATCTGTTTATCCTGTGTAAAACTATCACTGTGTCCCAGCAACATGACTTTATCATGATGAGTCATGTAATTGTTAGAGATTGTAATGGCTGTAGATCCATGGGTGACATCAATGAGTCCATCATCACAATTAGACAATGAACAGTGATCTATCCATATATGTTTGCTTGACTTAACGGTAATCCCATCACCATCGGACTGAGTCCATCCGGATTGATGTGGAGAGTAGATGTAACCATTTCCAGCCTGCTCACAGTCATGTATATGGATACCATGGATGATGATGTTAGTAGCACCATGTATGGTGATGCATGGACCATTACCGATATGAACATTGACACCCCTTCCGTCAATGGTTTTGAATGAGTTCATCACAAGATCTTGACGTAATTGGATCACCATTCCACGTTCAAAGATGATCCACAATGGTTCATCTTGAATCACGCCATATCTGAGTGTTCCCGGTACCGGCTTCACCGGATTATCATTCCGAGGATCGGTGACGACGTATATCCGTCCGTTTTTCCCGCCGATGGCGTCCTTTCCAAACCCAATTGCGCAGTCAGCTAGCCTTTGACGATTGGTGGCCCAGTTCGTGTCACACCTCCAGCAGTCGTCAATTGGGTTGCCGGTGCCGCAGGAGAGGTAACCCAAGTTTCTCCGGGAGCCATTGATGCTCCGGCTGACTTCTTCCACGACTGATTCAGGGGTTTGTTGGGATGAGGAAGAAGAAGCGATTGTGAGTAGAGACAGTGAGGAAAGCAAGAGGATCAATGGAAGAAATGTGGTCGCCATTTGTGGAGGAGGAGAGGGATGAAGAGATCGATGAGTATGTTGGAGCCTTGGGGTGTTTATATAGTAACGATGGTGCGGTAATAAATGACGCAATTAATTTGCTACTGGAGAACGATGTGTAATTAGAGGGTGGATTGGTTAAAACTTGGTATTAGATAAGAAAATTACATGTCTTAGAAAAGGGGACACAACCTCTATAACAATGATAACTCTAAATTCATGATAGATAAAGGATTTAGCAAAGAAAACTATCATATTGATCATCAACTAATCGCTAAAAACCAAGGTTCTAAAAAGTTCATCATGGCTCCGCACGCCATGGCTCCAAAGCTTGTACCTGTCGCCAAACTTTACCAAAATGCCGTCTTAACTCATATATGTGTATAAAAATGAATAATAGTTGAAAATACATATAAAAATATTAATTATATACAAAATTGCCGCATTAAGTCACACCTTACAAACAACGTGACTCGCCAAGGCTTGGAAAAATTTGAGGCTTGACATTGCCGTCAATTCATGTCTTACGTTATTTAGAACCTTGCTAAAAACTAGTAAAAGGAGAATATGATTTAAAACAAAGAGTATGTTGAACCCTAACATTCTCATGTGATACCAGTCATTTTTTTTGTTGATTGCCTTTTTATTGCTCTGATTTGGTCTCGTGTTGCTATGTGGTGGCAAGTATTGTTACCTTCGGTTCAGTCATTTGATGCTCTTATTACTAGGGCGGATTCTTTTACTTAACCGTTGAGAATAAGAAAATTTTTGATGCCGTGATTATATATTTTTTATGGGTTCTTTGGAATTATGGGATCAAGTTATTATATCTTCTTTATGGGTTCTTTGGGATTATGGGATCAAGACTATTTTGGAACGAAGAAACCGAGAAAGGATATTATTTTTGATGATATGGTTTTTTTTTTCTTTTAGATTTGTAATAGAGAAATGCAAAATGCCTTGGGATTGATGGCTTTATAATCCTATCTAGCTATAGTTTCTTTGTAATTTTCATTTGTCCCCTTGCTAGAGTCATTTTTATTATATGTTGTGGTTCCCAAAAAAATTGAAAATGTGTTTCTTTTCAGGAGGGAGTCATTCCCTCCCAACCCACTGAATCCACTGTCACATCATTTTTTCTTTTTTGTTTTTCTTCATCTTTCCGAATCCACAACACACGAAAATCATATCTTTTTGAACGCACTTAACCCACTCAATTAAAAAAAAATACAAAACAATCAAATGTAAAATCTTAATTAGCAATACAGTTATCGGCGGTACCACTCCCGCTTCAACGAGTGGGTTGATTGGTTTCACTAACCCACTTCATCATTTCTCTCTACTTTCTCATTCTTATTTTCTCTTGTACCATGTGTTTTAAAACTTGTACTTTAGTTGTTTTGTATTTTTTTTAATTGAGTGGGTTGAGTGGGTTCAAAAAGATAGAATTTCCGTGTGTTGTGGGTTCGGAAAGGAATTATGGGATCAAGTTATTATATCTTCTTTATGGGTTCTTTGGGATTATGGGATCAAGACTATTTTGGAACGAAGAAACCGAGAAAGGATATTATTTTTGATGATATGGTTTTTTTTTTCTTTTAGATTTGTAATAGAGAAATGCAAAATGCCTTGGGATTGATGGCTTTATAATCCTATCTAGCTATAGTTTCTTTGTAATTTTCATCTGTCCCCTTGCTAGAGTCATTTTTATTATATGTTGTGGTTCCCAAAAAAATTGAAAATGTGTTTCTTTTCAGGAGGGAGTCATTCCCTCCCAACCCACTGAATCCACTGTCACATCACTTTTTTTCTTTTGTTTTTCTTCATTTTTCCGAACCCACAACACACGAAAATCATATCTTTTTGAACGCACTCAACCCACTCAATTAAAAAAAAATACAAAACAATCAAATGTAAAATCTTAATTAGCAATACAGTTATCGGCGGTACCACTCCCGCTTCAACGAGTGGGTTGATTGGTTTCACTAACCCACTTCATCATTTCTCTCTACTTTCTCATTCTTATTTTCTCTTGTACCATGTGTTTTAAAACTTGTACTTTAGTTGTTTTGTATTTTTTTTAATTGAGTGGGTTGAGTGGGTTCAAAAAGATAGAATTTCCGTGTGTTGTGGGTTCGGAAAGGAATTATGGGATCAAGTTATTATATCTTCTTTATGGGTTCTTTGGGATTATAGGATCAAGACTATTTTGGAACGAAGAAACCGAGAAAGGATATTATTTTTGATGATATGGTTTTTTTTTTCTTTTAGATTTGTAATAGAGAAATGCAAAATGCCTTGGGATTGATGGCTTTATAATCCTATCTAGCTATAGTTTCTTTGTAATTTTCATCTGTCCCCTTGCTAGAGTCATTTTTATTATATGTTGTGGTTCCCAAAAAAATTGAAAATGTGTTTCTTTTCAGGAGGGAGTCATTCCCTCCCAACCCACTGAATCCACTGTCACATCACTTTTTCTCTTTTGTTTTTCTTCATCTTTCCGAACCCACAACACACGAAAATCATATCTTTTTGAACGCACTCAACCCACTCAATTAAAAAAAATACAAAACAATCAAATGTAAAATCTTAATTAGCAATACAGTTATCGGCGGTACCACTCCCGCTTCAACGAGTGGGTTGATTGGTTTCACTAACCCACTTCATCATTTCTCTCTACTTTCTCATTCTTATTTTCTCTTGTACCATGTGTTTTAAAACTTGTACTTTAGTTGTTTTGTATTTTTTTTAATTGAGTGGGTTGAGTGGGTTCAAAAAGATAGAATTTCCGTGTGTTGTGGGTTCGGAAAGATGAAGAAAAAAATGAAAGAGAAAAAGTGATGTGGCAGTGAGTTCGGTGGGTTGGGAGGGCTCCCGCCCCCCCCCCCCCCCCCCCCCTGTTTTTTTTTTTGCTTATAAGTTGTTTTACCCACCCTATGTTCATGTTTGAGTTTGTATTGATGTTATTTTGCTTCAAATGTTCCCATTTGTTCTTTCATCTTGTGTTGGTTTTTGGGATTCTGCTAGAGTGATGTGGTTCTCAATCTATATGGCTAGGTAGTTTTGGGCTTTGTTCATGTTTGACTTTGTGAGATTAATTTCTTGTTGAAGTCCGTCGTTTTGGAACGCTACTAATGTTGTTAATTGTGGTGGGTGTGTCTCAATGACTGTTAGCTTATGTTCCCTTGTCTTTATGGGGCGTGCTACTGTTGTTTCAAATTATGAGAAATTCCTACTTTTTTCGGAGTTAAGGATGTACCATTTAGCTTCAGTTGCATGTTTTGGTGAGTATGTAGAGTTCATTGTTTCTTGCATGATAGGTGTAGGTTTCTTCCATTTTTAGTTGTTTACATGATTTTCTTTGTGTAATTTGTTTTTCTTTGATGTAGTTATAGAAGTTTAGCGCTATTCTTGTACTCGTTGTTTGTTGTCCAGCTTCCCACCGGGTTTCTAATATAATTTTGCTTGTCGATAAAAAAAAAGACAATTGGGTCCCTATGTTTACATATAATTTTTTATATGTTTTTAATATCTCTTAACTGTGAAGTGTCAAATTGAACACGTATTTACCCATTTTGTGGGCCACGTTCTTCATCCTACAAACATCATCTTTAACATTTTTAGTCCCTTTCTAGCCTACATGGTAATGAAAACTTCCAATTTCTTGATTTCATTTTGCGGACCACGTTTTTTTAGTGAAGAAAAAATGTGCCACATGAACAAATCTTTTCACCCGTTACATACTAACTATGTGTTATAAAGAACGATAGTGAAAGATCTGTTAAATGTAAATGTATCTTTAGGTAAATACTATTAAATGATATTTAGGTAAATATTATGGGAACTGATTCGTACACAACATTTTTTCTCCGCACACAACAATTTGTGCTTTAAAGTGTTGTATTGTACAACTCTATAATGCATAAATTGTTGTGTATTACAAAAAACTGTTGTGTACGAATCACATCCCATTATATTGTGAAAAATTCTGAAGAATATAGATGATGTTTAAATGTTATATTTTTAAGAGGGTATAATAGTTATTGATAAAAAATGATTTAAATTGATTATAAAAATGTTTAAAAAATGGATTTGGAAAAATATAATATTTTGGAAATTTATTTAGGGTATTTATGACAATATAACATTTAGATATTAAATATGAAAAATATTATATTTTGCTCTTTTTATATATATATATATATATATATATATATATATATATATATATATATATATATATATATATATATATCACTACAAGAAACGTGAGCATTAATGGCAACACGGGTCGCCGTTAAAGAATGCGGTTGTCGCCGTAAAAGGGTCGTCGCTGTTGCCTCGTCGCAAATGTTCAATCTGTCGCCGCTAATACTTGTTGTCGCCGCTAATGCTTTGTCGCCACTAATACTTGAGTGTCGCCGCTAACATATTTTCATTTTTTTATTTAACATTAAAATTATAATAAATAATATAACATGCATAAAACTTCTATAAAACTTAATTTTGTAGAAATTTTAATCCAAAATATTAGTCCATACACAACCGGTCCAAATATTCATCCAAACAAAGTGCAATATATCCAAAATATTAACTACTAAACATTTCATAAAATCCTAAAAAAGTAGTTACTCGTCCTCATCACTCCCATCGTTTCCTTCGTTATCATTTCGTGGCGGCAATGAGTGAAACCAGTCTTCCAGAGCAGCAGAACAGGCCAAGTCCTTTAGTATTGCTTGCAGCATTTCCAACTACAATGAAAACGAAATATATTACCACCATATCATAATAGCATTGTACTTTCCAAAAATTACCAAAATAAAAAATACCAACATATCAAACTATAACCAACATGTAACACTCCAATCCAGGTATTCCATTGTTTACCCTCAAGTATTTCATTTTTGGCAAAAAAAAGGTCCTTTCGTACGTTAGGCGTACATTTGGGTACGCTTAGCGTACGCGTGTGCATGCATCGGGTGGCTGAGGCTCGTATACTTGGCGTACGAGCATGTACGTGGGGCGTACGTGGCGACTGTCTA